TTTCACCTACATAGAAATCCAAACCGCACATGTGAATTTTGACCTATATATAAATCTGAATCAGATTAATTTGAGGCTCACACACACATACACACAAACATAACCAATAAATCGAAATTGGAGACAACAAACAAAATAATTAAGGATTGAATTACCTTAATAAATACTTACAGGTTCAGCCTTTGGACATATAAAAACACATGAAATCATCTGTTATCATGAAATTAAGATGATTTGAATGAAATTTTCCAGGTTTTCAGCTGGTGGGGAAAGATGCGTTGGTTAAAGCCAATTAGAATACTTTACTGTCCATTGATTTCACAAAAATATCTTTTAATTTCCGGTTATAAATTCTCAGATTTGAAACACATATTTTATCGAACACCTGGTGTGCTTCCTCACTTTTTTCAAATTTCTATAATAATAGACTTCCTCAATAAGAATACTTTACTGCCCATCACTTTGCTCGTCTTCATTGATTTCATTGTCTTTGAATGGACAAAACTCCAACTATGGTCTTCATTACCTTATCATCTATATATAAATTATCATCAAAGCAACTAAAAAAAACAAACTCATATAACCAAAACATCATTCATGACCCCGCATAAATCAAAGTAGGGATGAAAGTGGGTCAAAACCAGGACTAGTTGGACCCGAACCCGGAAAACCCGGAACCGGTTAACGAGATTTTGTAGAACCAGAAACCAAATCGGTAAATAGGAACCGATTCTGGTTCGGTTCCGGGTACGGTATCGGGTAAAGTGGGTCAAGAACCAGAAAACCCAGAAACATGAAAGTGGGTAGGTTGGAACCGGATAAAGTGGGTTTAGAACCGAAAAATCCGGAAAAAACGGAATTTTTTTGTAATTACTTACTACTTAGTAGCTTGAACTTTGAAAATTTTCATATTGATATCCCTATTTTGGGGGACTGTAACTCATTGAATATGAAATCAAAATTAACAAAATTATAGTCTAAAATCATATACAAACTCTAAACTAAAATCCAGAAAACATTGCACATCAATCCGAGTTTAAACGAATGAGATATGATGTGTTAACATTTTCATAGAATACAAAGTACAAAAACAAATAGCTGAAAAGTTGAAAATTTTCAGTTTTGATATCCCGACTTTGAGGAACTTTAAATCATTGAATATTGAACCAAAAATGACAAAATTATAGTCTAAACTCATGTACAAAGTTTAAACTATAAGTTGGAAAAAACCACATGTCAAGCAGAGTTCAAACGAATTAGATATGCATGTTTTAAAACATTCACAAAATACAAAAAAAACTGAAAAACTAAAAACTTTTAGCTTTGATATCTCTACTTTGAGAGACTCTAAGTCAATGAATATAAAACTAAAAATGGCAAATTCATAGTCTAAAATTGTGTACAAACTCTAAACTACACATTGGAAAAAACCGCATGTCAATCGGTGTTGAAATATAAGATTTTTTTTATAAAAAAGTATTTCGTACAAAAAAGTTTTTATATAGAAATAAAAGATTCTTTTATCCGAAAATATGTTTTTTTATAAATATGCTTTTATAAAGAAAAAACATATACGAACTCTTTTTTTTGAGAAAAAAGTTGTTAAAAAAACTAAAGTTATGATGAATTCATCACAATAATTTTAAATTTGAGCCAAAAAGGTAAATTTTGTACCAAATTTGTAATAAAATTTAAAATATGGGCCAAAAGTGTAAATTTTGGACCAAATTTATAATAAAATTTGAAATCTGGACCAAAAGTCTAATTTTTGAAAATAGGATGACCTATTGGCCGTGTAAAAATGTTAAATTGAATACGATTACCTATTTTTGATACTTAACTGAATCTAACCTAATAAATGAAAATCAATATTGACAAATGTCATGTTGTTACTGAATTTGACACGTGTAATTTTCTAAGAATTTTTGAATTATTTCTTTTCCACTTCTCATTTTCTTAAATTTTTTATTTTTTATTTTTTAAATTTAAAATCCACATTTTAATGAGATTTATATATGTAAAGTAGATCATTCTATTAAATTTCATAATAAATGCTCTACAACCTTTGTTACTTATTTAATTTATTATATTCATTGTATTTATGTAAACTTATTACTTTAAAAAATATGTAATGCCTATAATTTTATACTAAACTTTTTTATAAACTCGTATAGTACACGAGTCTCACACCTAGTAATAAAATATATAAAGACTAAGTCGAATTTGAATCATCAATGGTTCTGATCGTTAATTATTTTAATAGGATGCTCTATAATAAATTTTACACAATAATTAGTTCTTATTTGTGTAACACCCCGAAATATCAAGAGTAGAGTTGAAGGGCTAAAAGTGTAAATCTTGAAGGGCAACTCGGCGAGTCCATGGATGGACTCGGCGAGTAGGGTCGCGACCTTGGTCGCGTGTCAAGTGGCCTACTCGGCGAGTCCAAAGATGGACTTGGGGAGTAGGTGGTGAGTGGAGAAAACCCTAATTCTCGGGGTTGAGCCCTATATAAAGAACTTAACATCCATTCCCCTAGCCTCTTATCCTCAAGTCCAGAAACCCTTAGCATCCGTGTGTGTGTGGATCAAAGTGCATTTGGGAGCTTGAAGGTTATTTGTTGAAGAAATCTTGGGAGTTTGGAGGCTTGGAGCAAGGGGATTTGCTTGGATTCGAGTTTCATTGTAGTTGGGGCGTTCTTTTGAGGTAATATCTTGTTCTTGGGATGTTACTCATATGGATTCATCATTTTGGGGTTTATGGGAGCTTATCTTGGTATGTCTTGGAGTTTGGAGGTTAGATCTGAGGTTGCTACCTCAGATCTGGAATGGGGAAGGTCTAGAGTGCATTAAAGTCCCTGTGTTTGAGTGCTTAGTGAAGCCGTCATGTCCCAAACCCTAGCTCTTAAGTGTATAAGGCCTAGATCTCTTTGGATCCACGTAAAGTTTGCCACTTTACATGATGGATGGGTTGTAGGAGGCTAGATCTATGTTTTGGATCAATTGCATGGCCTGGAACGCTCCTGTATGGATTCAGACCGGTGGTACTTGCCGAGTCACAAGGGTGGACTCGACGAGTTGCTTGAAGATGAGCTGGAACTCGACGAGTTGGATGAACAACTCGGCGAGTAGGTTGAAGATAGCCTTAAACTCGGCGAGTCTGTTCTTGGACTCGGCGAGTCATGTCGAAGAATCCCAATATTTTCTGGTTGAGTCGAGAATCAACGAGTCAAGGGATGACTCGGTGAGTTGGGTGTGAGTGGACTCAGAGTTGTTGACTCGGCAAGTCTCGGGGTGACTCGGTGAGTCAGGTCACGGATTGAGGGAAGTTCTGAGCTTAGGGACTCGGTGAGTCATCGGGTTGACTCGGCGAGTAGAGTCAGTCAGGGGTTGACTTTGACCGTTGTCCAGAGTTGACTAGTTTGACTTTGTAGTGTTAGTCAGCCAGGATCAAGGTGGTATTAAGTAGAGATATGCTTGTGTTGTAGGAGGACGATAGCTCGGGAGATCGAGCGCTAGTTATTCCGAGATACACGGGGTGAGTCTTCTCACTATACTTTACCTTGAGTAGGTAACCAGAGTTATGTGACAGAGTATTTGTATGCTATGTATGTTATGTGTTGTACTGCATTATTTCTATGTGATTTATGTTGTGCATGTTTACAGAGTTAGGACCAGAAGGTTCACAGAGTTAGAAACCTGAGGGTTCACAGAGTCTGGGTGCACGGACCCACAGAGTTATAGCCTCGAGTGGCTAATATGTGTTTTATGTGGTATTTTGGGGAACTCACTAAGCTTTGTGCTTACAGTGTTTGATGTTAATTGTTTCAGGTACTAGTGACGACCGCGGGAAGGTGCCGGCTTGATCAGTACACACGCACGGGATTTATGATTTTTGAGATCTTGGGATTTTGTATTACTTGGATTGAATGATTGAAAATGGTTGTTTTCTGAATATTAAATGAATCATGTTTTATACAAATTTGAAAAATTTTCTTTTGAAATTTACGGTGTTACAATTTGAATATACATAAAAATGGTTTTATTTAAATGTCAAACATTAATGAACCATATGATAATCTCCTTTCTCTAATCCAAAAATAACATTAATCTTTTTTTTTATCATGTGTCACTCTAATACAATTATTCATTAATATCATATCACATGTCATGGAGGTACATTAGGCAAGTTATTCAAAATCCAAATTTACTTTTTCTAATTATATGTTAAATTTGAAATTATAATAACTTTAAAATTTTGATATATCTCTTAATTAATAATTTATTTAAAATGATTTATTTATAATAATTCACTACAAGAAACTTTCGATTTAACTACGGAAAAATTCCGTAGCAAAATGATGTAATTTCGTAGCTAAACCTAAATAACTACAGAAGTTGCTACGGAATTTACCAATGAGATTCCATAGTAAGATTTCTTGTAGCAAAATGTTTAACTACAAAATTATAGTTCCGTAGCAATTTTGTTATGGTCGTTGCTACGACGTTTATCCGTAGCATTTCAACTACAACACACTTCCATCACAATTCTGTAACAATGAATTTTGTAGCAAATTCCGTATCTATTTTGTTCCGTAATAAATTCCGTAGCCATTTGGTGCATAGCAAATTCCGTAGCTAATTGTTCTGTAGCAAATTCCGTAGCTAATTATTCTGTAGCAAATTCCGTAGCCATTTGGTCCGAAGCAAATTCCGTAGCCATTTGGTCCATAGCCAATTCCGTAGCTAATTGTTCTGTAGCAAATTCCGTAGCCATTTGGTCCATAGCAAATTCTGTAACTAATTGTTCCATAGCAATTTCGGTAGCCATTCGTTCCGTAACAAATTCCGTAGCCATTCATTCCGTAGCAAATTTCGTAACAATTTTTTTGTAGTCAATTCCATAACAATTGTTCCATACCATTTTTTCTATAAAATTCGGTTATTTAATTTGACTTATTATATCAATTTACAAAAATACAATTAATATAAAACCAAAAATAACAAAGTATTTCTATAGAAACTAAAAAGAAATATCCAATACATCAAAAGATACATATTTCAAAATCAGAAGTTGCTACAAATTTAACGTAAAACATTATTTGATACATAATATTCTATCATTGATTAATAAAATTTGACATGTTCACTCAATGTGTTAATGACATTCATTGCTTGTGCAAGTTGTTGTTCAAACTTTGCTTGATCAATGCATATTAATGCATCCAGAACAAAGAAAGCCATTATTTTTCTTGCCTTGAGTTGCATCTTTTATGGCCTTTAAAAATAATAATAATAATTACTGCTATTGTGATAATATAATAATAATAATAATATACAACATCATGGAATATACCAATCTAGAATTGATTGAGCTTCTTTTCTTAGGATAGATAAGTTTGCACGTGCCAGCTCAGCCTGATCCTGGTCAATCTGAACCCAAAAGTAAAAGTTAGTATTTTAAAGGAATTAGAATCTAAAGAAATCATAGATTTATAAAGTTGTCACCTTTTCAAGATCCAAATCTCCACTTTCTTGTTCCTCCACTAACAAAGATTGAAGAATAGTAGTAGGAACATCTGGATCCAGTATGTGTTGACAATATTGGAAGTAGCTTAAAAGCAAAGTGTATTGCCTAAATTTTAATCATATTATCAAGACTCATCATCAGACATTATATACCAAAAAAAAAGATTATTGTGAATTTCCAATTGTAACCATAGTTACCTTCTCCTCAATGCTTTTGATGTGTCATGTTTGAGAATTGCCATCATAATCTTATAGAGGATAGAGTGACATGCACCATTTGACATTCGCTTTGTCATAATAACATCAAGACATGTCACAGTATCCGAGTTCAACACACTTGGGTTAATAAACCTCTCATCCCGTAATTTAGCCATGCATGTAATTGAAACCTTTATATTTAAAAAAAAAATCATTTAACAACTCAACAGCAAATTAATATATATATATATATATATATATATATATATATATATATATATATATATATGTGAATTTATATTACTTGAGTTAACATTCCTGCCATCTTTAACGAACAATCTGGAGAACTAGAACCATTTAAAGATGCATCAAGCAACCTGTTGCCAAAGACAAAAACTGTTTAACAAAAAGATATTATAAAAATATTTTAGGGGTAGAGAGAGAGAGAGAGAGAGAGAGAGATAAAGAGAAAAAAATGCACTGAAATAATATTTATGATCGATTTTCCATTGAGGATAACTTTCTTGAAGCTGAAATCTAATAAAGATGACACACATACATAAGATTAGGGTTAAATGCAAATCAATTTTCAACATCATAATTGGGTATTTTTTTAAGAAGAAATTTGAAAGTATATAGCTATTTCTTGCATTTACCTCAACAATATGTGCCCATCCAGTTAACATATGGAGTTGAGCAGCTTGTTCTTCAAGGTTCTTGTTGTGTTTCCATGCCCATCTGAGAAGCTGTTGAACAGTATTTCTTACTTCTTCAACTTCAGCTTCACTCCCAAAAGTACTCAGCTGTGGATTCTCAAAATTGCACTTCTGAAGAGCAAAATAAGCCACAAAATCAATTAGCGTAAGAAGGGTAATATGGTCCAAGAAAATTTAATGATGCAAAATTATATAATACCTGCCAAAGGGTGTCACGAAATGCATTTAGGTCAATCAATCGATCCCCTCGTTCAGAGTAGTAATACACACCTCCCTTTTCATAAGTTGATGGATTCCCAAGTATATCATCAGCCTACAAAAAAGAATTTCTTCAACAAGTCAACAATGACTTTTATTTATATTTCCTTTCTTTCTACCAACAAGTCAACAATGTCACAAAAAAACATGCTAAAAATTCTTCTATTTTTTTTAATAATTAATATAACATCTTCATTATGTTACGTCTAGACATTTTATCTAATTTAGCTTACTTAATTTGTTTATTTCATAATAAATAGTACCATAAACAAACCATTGTGCAAAATGAAAGATTGTCCAAAATGAAAATAAATGTGTTACAATTGTGGGTATATACGCATTTCTTATTTGTGTGAAATTCCATTAAGTTATGCAACAACGATCTAATTATAATACATATCATATTTTCAACCAATTTATATTGTCGATGTGTTATATTAGAATGAATGAGAATCTTGTACTTAACAAAACTGGATCAATTCAGGATCAAACCCAAAACTGATAGATACAACAATCTGTGTGATTCAATGGTTAAGGGAAGTGTTAGGTGCTTAAGTTTTATTCAGACATTTTATCAAACACCTATCATGCATTAGTATTAAGTATGCCATTTTATGCAAAGAAACTACAATCGGCCATTTATATGTAAAAAGAACAACTATAAAGATTCAACATATATAATTATTATTAACATGCTTGAGTTTTTTGTTCTTTGTCTATGATAACCATCAAGAAAGCTTCGACATATGCTTGCATTTGGTGGAAAAGGCATCCTTGAAATAAACTTTTTTGTTTCTTTTAGGTCGCCATATCTAACCATCAAGTCCACAACAACAAGAAAGGAAACCAACAGAAGCTATTGAAGACACTACATCCAATAGAAAAAGAAAAACCCTGATCTCGACCTCTAAAGACGAAAGTTGGATAATAAATTTGATGTCTGATTATTAATTGATTCTACCTAGACTATTCAGACAAGGAGCTTAAGACATTTCATTTATACTCATTAGCAATGGATCATAAAAACGAGAGATATCAGTCGACACTCAAGTTTGTTTAGGAATGTAATTGTTAAATGAAATCTATTAAATCATGTCAGATTGGCAATCACTGCATCAAAATCCATAATTTGCATCAAATGCAATAAACTCGATCAAACAAATTCATCAATAAAAAATTTACCAGTTGACGATCGAGATCAATATCCTTCAAGTCATTGGATGATAAAGAGAAAATGGAGAAAAAAGAAGAGAGAAGAATGTTACCGGTTGACGACCGAGAAAAATCTACTAGTTGACAGAGCAGGAATCGAACGGCAAAGCAAATGAGAGTGAGAGGAGCTCCGATCGATAATGGCGTAAGTGATATGAGGAATGAGGAATGTGATCGGCGATTGACAAATCAGAATGTTGTGAGTAGCAACGACTGGCGTGATGATGGCTAAGCAACAACAGCGGCACGTTGAGAGAGGGAGAGATGCGATCTTTTGAACGTGATACCTCTAATTTGGGGTTGAGGAAGAAGTAGATTTGTGTAGATTTACTGATTTGCCCTTAAGGCCATGAGGTCCGGGGGGCTTTACTACCGTCAAAACAAAATATTCACATCACAGTCAAATTTGGTGTACAACTTTGTTATTTTTCTTTTCAATTTAGAGGTAATTTTATATAACACCCCTTTAAGTTATATATTATTTACATATATAACCTTTTCCATTTATATATTATTTACATATAACCTCTTTCGATTTCTATATTTCCAATATATATCCTTACTAATTATATTATATTAACTTAATTTTATAAAAAAACAAATAACACCATTAATGTAATGGGAAAAAATTTTAAAAATATTATTTTTATTTTTATTAATGTGTTTTTTGCTAATGTTTTATTGTGTTTTTTAATATAATGTAAAAAAAATATGGAGTGATAACCATTTCCAAGGATTAGTGGAGTAATATATTTTGCTACGGAAACATATTCCGTAACGACTTAACTACGGAATTTTCCGTAGCCAAATACGTATGAATTTTGATTTCGTAGCTATTTTGCAAAATCACATTTTTGTAACAAATTTCATAATAGATTAGCTACAAAATTTTATTTTGTAGCAAATTTTCCTAGCAAAATAGCTACGGATCCTAATTCCATAGCTAACTAGCTACGGATTTTTATTTTGTAGCCAACTAGCTACATACATGGATTTTGTAACAAGTTTCATAAAGAACTAGCTACAACCCAAAAACTTGTAGCATTATTTGTAGTAAACTAGCTACGGATTTTAATTCCGTAGCAACTATTCAAGATTTAGCTACGGAATGCAATTCCGTAGCCATTTCCGTAGCAAATTAGTTACAACCAACCATTTTGTAACATATTCCGTAGTAAAATAACTATGAATTTAGATTTCGTAACAACTTTACGTAGCTAATTAAGATTTAGCTACATAATGCAATTCCGTAACCATTTATGTAGCATAATAGCTACGACAGGTCGTTTCATAGCATATTCCGTAGTAAAATAGCAACGGATTTTGATTCCATAGTAACTTTCCGTAGCTATTTAAGATTTTTCTTGTAGTGATTTATTTAAAATGATTTATTTAAAATAATTGATTAATAATTATAAATCTTTACTATGAAAGTTTAATTAATTTTATAAGCATGTTTCTCACTGATTATAAATTAATACAATATAATAGAAACGCTAGTCATTAGTCATTATATCTAAGTAAAGTATAAACCTAAACCCTAATTAGAAGAGAGTTGTGCCCAACCATTCTTGTCAAAGCATGTACAAAGTAGGGGTGGTGCCCCTCTCATCCTTAAAAGATAAGTTTTTGTCATGTACAACTTCAAATCTAAAGACCTTCAACCTACCACAATCACATATTATGTTGACGATCGATGTCAAAATTTTCTATTATCATTTAGCATTCTTAAACATCCTAACATCTCCGAAGTTATGTGTTTCTATATCATCTAAAATTGAAAGTATAAAAATTCAAAAATTATGAAGAAAATGGTGTACGAGGAGAAAAGGAAAAGAAAAGAGTAAATTACACGAATGGTCCCTATGGTTTGGGGTAATTTGCGTGCTTGGTCCCTAACTTATTTTTTTAACTCGGAAGATCCCTATGGTTTGTTTTTATTACGTGTTTGATCCCTACTGTTTATTTTTGTTACACGTTTAGTCCCTGTCTTATCTAAAAAGACTATTATTTAAAGAGTAAAAAATGATGGGGTATGTGAGATAAGGTGAGGGGGTGAGATTAGGGGTGTGTTTATTTAAATAAATTAAAAAAATCAAGGGCATAATAGTCTTTTTAGGTAAGATAGGGACCAAGCGCGTAACAAAAACAAACAGTAGAGATCTTCCGAGTTAAAAAAATAAATTAAGGACCAAATGCACAAATTACTCTAAACCATAGGGACCATTCGTGTAATTTATTCAAAAGAAAACGTAAACCAAGATAGAAAAGATAAATGGTAGGCGATGTTGTGGACCAAGGTGTTGATTGATACTGATCAGATACTTCGGAGTTTGGACCAGTGACGTCGACTTGTTTACATTCCACATCTTCCATCCTGAACTGCTTCCTTATCCTCAGGTACGTCGGCCACTCCTTTACCACACGGTCGTACTAAACTACTAGTTGTCACTTGTTTTTTTTTTATTAAACATTGCCAGGGTATCTCACACGGATACGGGTGGCCCATCATAACTCCTTACTTTTCTCTATTATGGTTTTTGATTTTGTCTGCAAATACCGACTCAATAGAACCATGGATTACACGCTCTAACACTGTCGGCCACCGCCGCCATACATTTGAGGGTCGTTTTCTATTTTCAGTTTTATTATATAAATTTTGAAAACATGAACAATAAATTTTCGTTACTGTCATATAATCTATTAGATGATAAATTAATTCAGGTTTTAAGGAGAAATGGTAATGTTTTCTAGATAGGTACGTGACCAGTAAATTTTTTGTTTCTACTAACAAATGGATAATACTAGATACATTGACAACTTCATCGGTTATATTCTAATGTTATGACAAATAATTAAATTCTAAACAGCAAGGAAACATATTGTTTAGTAAAATAGTTACAATAATTTTGACATGTGACTTATCTATCAATTGTTGATAATTTTTAGAAAAAAGTTCAGTTAACACATTGTTGATCAAAAACCATGACATTTCATTTCGAAAATTGAGATTTTACCCATTTTTGATAGGATTAATGGATTATATATGGAATATATTTATTTATTCTACTTTCCGTCCATTGGAGAGCGGAAATGAAACCTAATACGAGGAGTGAATATGGTGTAAAACCTGTATTTTCAATAATAATTGACTATGGTAATTTTACGACGTCAGCTATATTTCATTAGTTAATAATATCGAATTATATTAATTTGGAATTTATTAACATATATTTCATTACTTACGATTTATATTATATCCAAATATATATATATATATATATATATATATATATATATATATATATATATATATATGTATATATCAATAAGATATTTAATCATATAAGTTAAGTGAATATAGTTTTGTAAATGAACCGTATATATATATATATATATATAGAAAAGTGAATATACCCTTAAGGGTATATAAACTTAGGTACCCAAACCCACTATAATTAGTTGTTTTGTTTGATATATTCATTATAATGTTATTAAACTTCAACCTTAACTTGATTTACTTTGAACATTTTCGAAATTTCACTATTGTTTTCTTCTTATATCACATCTTTTTGCCGAACACCTATTAGGTTATATATATTAGAGTTGAAAATGAAAATTATGTAAGAGGAAGATAAATGTGAAATTTATAAAAACCTTAGAAGTAAATCAAGTTAGAAGTTGAATTATAAGAGCATTGGACAATTACAATGTATACATATGATATAAACAACATAGTATGGTGATTTTGGGTACCTAAGCTTATATACCCTTAAGGGTATATTCACTTTTCCCATATATATATATATATATATATATATATATATATATATATATATATATATATATATATATATATATATATATATATATCAAATTAGTTAATAATAAATAATTTTTAATAAAGCGAATTAAATAATCTAGATAAAAACGAATTAAATAATATGGATAACATTGTGGATAAGATCGAATTAATTAATGTGGATAAAATCAAATCATATTATACTTATAAAAGAGACATTTTTCTTTAAACGTCATGTATTTGAAACTGCCACAAAAAATTTCAAACACCTCAAGAATTTGAAACCTTCTATTTTAATGAATACCACACAAAAGTCTCTTAATAATGATTAACAATTCTAAGGTTTTATAACCTATATAATATATTTTTGTGTTGGTTTGAGGCTTTGGACCATTTTTCGAATCACTTTATTGTGTTAAAGTTTTTATTTTGTAAGTTTGTTATATACTAATTTTTTTTTGTATTTTCTTGGTTTAACTATTCCTTTAAGAATATCATTGCATGTTGTGATTGAAATTTTAATGTAAATTAGATTATATTCATGTTATCGGTCATATGTTATGGAAGGTGATATATATATATATATATATATATATATATATATATATAATATTTAATTAACTATTGTATACATGTTTGTATGTTCGTGTTGCTTTAAAACAATAATTAATTAAAATTTATTGATACGTCATATTATCCATATTTTCCATGTAAGCCTCTTTTAAAATGCAAATTTTCTATTTTATCAGTCTATATTTTAATATATGTTTAACATTTTAGTTATAATAATAAGTGTTTCTTAAAAGTTTCTTTCACTTATTAATAATAGTAAGTGGTTTTAAAATTAATGAACAATAATTGTACATAATAAAATCAATTTATAAAAATCATGGATATGTTATATTATCCATGTAAGTCTCTTTTGAAATGCAAATTGTCTATCTTATCATTTTTTTTATTTAGTGTACATTTCACATATTAATAATAATATTAAGTGTTTTTTAAAAATCTTCTTTAACTTAATTATTATCAATAATAAGTGGTTTAAAATTAATGAATAATAATTTTAAATGATAATAATATCAAATTATAAATGAGATTTAGCTACAAATAAATTATATTTTAAATGAACATCATTATTGAAGTTAGAAAATGATGTAATAAGTAAAAATATAAATAATCAATCATAATAATTATTAAAAATAATACTAAATAGATACTTATATTTAATTCTATTAATGAGGAATGTGGGTTGATGTGAATGAATATTATTGTTCAAAATAATTGAGATTATATATATAAATTAGTGTAAAAATATTATCTCAAAATTAATATCAATAACATAACCATTTTAAACATATATTTCAATATTTTAACAATATATTTTTAATATGTACTGCGCAACCGCGCAGGAATTCGTCTAGTTAAATAATGTGGATAAGAAAGAATTATATAATATGGGTAAAAATGAATTAATTAACCTTAATGACTAAGTTAACTTAGTGGCTAAGAAATCCTAACACTATAAATAGGGACTCAAGTCTCCTTATTTCGTCACATCTTTCTCTCTCAAATATCTCTGCCTCGAGATCTCAGCCATTGTGATTTGAGTTCTCGTTCTCGAGTGTCGTTAGTGACACGTTGAAGCGATAGTGCCTGGGAGAATCGTTTCGTAGACAAGTCTAAGTGTTGACGTTACGCT